CAACCATATAACTGGTGTAATGCGCGGGAAAAGCCCAACCATATAACTGGTGTAAAGGGCGGGAAAAGCCCAACCATATAACTGGTGTAAAGGCGGGAAAAGCCCGATGATCTAACTAGTATAAGGCGCGGGAAAAACCCAACCATACAACTAGTGTGCAGAGCGGGCAAAACAGAAATGCAGGAAGCTCGTGTAAAAAGGGCGAAAACGTAACAACACTTGAACTGGCATAAACGATGGAGAAAGCTACTTACTACAAGCGACCGGGCAAACACTATTGCCATATGTGGGGGGAGGGGAGGGGAAGAAGATGAAGGCTATGAATAGTAGATTGGGTCACAAGTAATTAATGGATGGAATTAAAGGCCTAATCTAAACTAACTAAGTACCTGTTCAAATAGACATAAAAACAAAAAGTTTGGCCTTTCAGGGATGTGGTGCATTTAATCTACCTATTCAAATTCAAATAAATAAATAAATAAATAAATAAATAAAACGGTCTGCTTTTCAGGGATACCGTGCATTTCACTCCAAAGGGAATTGAAGTATATACGTAGTCTCAGGTCTTAAATTTACCAATTTACGTGTAACGTTTCATACCAGCAATAAAGAAAGTGAGGAACTCATCCAACAGGTCCTCTATCCCAAGGTTTGGATCTGCCTCTGTAGAAAACAATTATTTCAATAAAACAAACAAAAGAAAAACTAAACAAAACTATGATTTTTGGGGGCATGGGTATTTACTTACGATTGTTATTCACTAAGCAAGTTAGACCACTTCATGTCAGACATTTGTTTGAAATAGTTTCTTCTGTTTTCAAACGTACTGTCAGGTCGATTTAAAAGTTTTAATTATCTAGAGATTTTGAAGCATTCAGAGTTTCGTTAAGTTGTCAAGAGATACCTGTACAAAGCAGCAACTCTAGGAACTAATTCAATACAATCCAGGGAAGCAGAGTTTACATTGCCCAAATTGTCCAGCTTCTCGCGTTTGATTCACTTAACTGCCCAGGCCATTGCAGTGGATGCGCCGTCAACACTTTCGTGTATGCGCAACACAATTAAGGCATCAAAGGCTGACCCCTTCTGCGAGGGATTCGACATCCATATCGGCGTGGGCTCTCATCCTCTTTGCTCTGTGCATGCCATGATAGCCCTATCTATCTCGAAGAGGCTCAGGCAATACTCCAGGCCCTTAGTTTCGTCTTCAGGAAGGTCAATCGCTTTCGCGTGGCATTCTCTCTGATTGGCTAAGGCAGATTATGGCTGCTGCTGGCATAGCTGGGAGCTTATCGTGCCATAGCTTCCACATTGGCGCCGCAACGGTAACAGTTCGTAATGACATCCTGGATCATCTTATCCAAGTCTTGGGGCAGTGGACTAGCAATGCCTACCAGCTGTATATGAGGATCCCGTGGGAGGCCTTGTGATCCCTCTTACATATGTACATCGGCTTTCCTGAGAGGTTTCCTGGGACATCTCGGGTCTGACCTCTGGTTTCGTGAGCATTACTAGTCACCGGGTTTCTTTTATGACGTCAATTTGTCGCGAGATGACATCATAATTGAGTATTAACACGTGAATGGCACTAAACGAAATATCCTTGCGTTTTGATGCTTTACACATAATGTCCGCAAGTTCGGTTGCTTTAGCGAGAATATCCGCAGTCTAATCACAGGCATCCCAAACTCACTAAAAGGCATTGCAAACTCTTTACAATGCCTTTTAGAGCGCCAAAATTCTCAACGGCCCGAAGTGTAACACAACACAGCGTACTTTAGGTGGTCACGTCCCACTCGATAAGCTTACATAAATCATTAATCTTCGATCGATTTCTCGAATCGTTAGTTTGGGATGCCTGTTGTTGTTGCATGCAAATAATGTATTGACAGGTACATCTCTTGTTTTATAGTACACGTAATATTTTATCAGGGATAACGTAGTGTATCGACAGGCATACACGAATCCCGCTGTTTATGACGATATTTCTTGAATTTCATTACTTAACGGCTTTATTCCAATGAGTTTGGTTTTGTCAAGATTCAGTGGTAGATCGTTATTTGCCTTAATTGTAGTTTTCAAGTGAATGTACATTGCCTACGATGTTTTTTTTTAATGTGAGGTTCTGGAGGAGGTTTACCTGAAAGCTGAGAACTGCCGGGTCAAAATATTACCTGTCCATTGCGGAATGACGAGGAAAACAGAAATAGCTTATGGCCAAGATCTGAGTTATGAAAAAGTAACGGACAAATTGGCTGAAAGTCGAACGCCGAAAATGTAACCCCATGCATAACTGCGATTCCAGTAATGCCATACCGACCTTTTTCTTGTCTACATTATATGTAATAGTTGAGGAATAGTAGAGTAATTGAAAGGCCAATAATAATATACTTGCTATCAACATCATTTTGGTGAATTGTATAGTATTCGTTTTCAGTTTTATTAATATACCGCATTTTATTCATTGTGACAATAGGATATCTCGTTTGGAAAATGAGCTACAGGAGGCAAAAAAGAAGATTTTAGACCTGGAAGCTAAAAACGAACAGAATGACAACGATGGAGAAATGCTGAAACGAGAAAACGGGTCTGTATCAATGTTTTGCGTTTCTATTTCGAAGTAGCTTGCCTCGTTTGGCGTAACGGAGGGAAAGACCAGTTTAGTTTTTAACAGGCCGGCGGAGTGCGTCAGGGGCTTGAGCAATGCGAAGCGAAACAAGTGAGACAAAAGGAAGCAGAAAGAGAGAAAAATAGCAAAAAAACAACAAGAAACCTCTCTCTCCTTCCTCTGCCCCCAAAAGATCTTTTAATAGCCGTTATAATCATGAAATATAAGTTGAAATATGTTCCCTAACCCCAAAACCGTCTGAGGTCAGTTAGGTATAATTATCCAATCAGAAATTGATTTACTAAAACTGAAGCTGACTTTACTTTTATCGACGCGCAAGTAATGGCGTTCCCGTTATTATTGTTTGTTTTTTTTTTGAATGGAAAATAATGGGTTTGCTAGCATGTAGAAGAAACCCAGATATACTTGTGGATTAATTCAAATGGTGGAGATTATAAAGAAAATATATTTAGAAAGAGGGGGAGGGGGAG